GACCGAACCCTCTATTCTCTCAGCAATTCATACTTGACTGAACCTGGAACAATATTTACTGACTAAATAGGCATGATATACTCGAAGGGCTGAACCTAACATGCTCGCTACAAGTGCTCGGCCCGTGGTGCGCGCTACGTGCGCGACCACGTCCCTCGGCCGGGTCACCGCACCACATGAACATTTATCGGGCAACATGACATTAAATAAAAGGCTGATTATATACAGCTACTCAAGAGATTAATGATTCACACATGAACATGATTAACCTAGGCCATACACACGTCCATCTCGACTTCAATGTTAACCCCCGAACATGATTGAACAACTAACTAGGAAATGATCTTATTAACTGAAAAATATAGTAAATTGAAGCTACCTGTTCGACCTCTTGACTGATCGCTACCGCTGTTCGGGGTTGTTCGGCCTTGTGTCCGTGCGTGCGGCGAAGCTCTCGGCATGGTGTGGTGCGTGCGATAGCGTTGCCGTGCGGTGCTTTGTGGTGGCTTATTAAGCTTGGAGGAAACTCTCTTAATTCTCCCTAACTCTTACTATTCTGAATATATGTGCTATATGAGGAGGAAAATGATGGGAAAAATTCAGCGCAAACTCCCTTTTAAATACTTAAGCCGCATGGAAGGAAAATAAATTTGGTGATGTAGAGCTTTGTTGTCACCACAAGAACTTTACACTTGGAAGCTAATAAAAGGGTTAGGGGATGACTAAGAATCTTCACTAGCCACCTCATGCTTGTTAAAGGAGCAAGATTTCCTTCCCATTAAGAAAACTCACGGCAATTAAAATGCTTTGGGGAAAAAAATATAGCTACGGCTTTTCAATTGCTTAAACGTGATTAATTAATAATTAATCACTAATTCATGTTTAATTATTTAATTAAACATAATGCTTAATTACCAAAATTATTTCGAATGTAAATGGTACGTCGAAAATAATTTCGGGTAATCTTGACTGAAAATAAATAATTCCGAAAATTAATACTCGATAATCGGAACTAAAACATGATTTATATTAATAAACTGACGGGATATTACAATCCTCCCTCCTTAAAAATTTCCGTCCTTGGAAATTCAAAACATAACTGAATATACATGAAATATGTATATGAACATAAAAGTATGTACATCAAAACTGAAAATCTGGAAATCGAGCGCGAATATCGGACTCTGCCTCCCAAGTAGCTCCGTGGCGATCCCACTGAATACGCACGAGGGGAACATCTCGCTTCCAGAGCCGACGGACCTGATGGTCCAATACAGCTACCGGTCGCTCCTCGTACGATAAATCTGGCTGAACCTGAATATCTGTATGAGGAATGACATGATCGGGGTCGCACACATATTTACGCAACATAGATGCGTGGAAAACATTATGAATGCCTGATAGCTCGGGAGGTAGGGCTAATCAATACGCGACCTCGCCTACTCGCTCGAGAACTTCGAACGGGCTAATGAATTGAGGGTGCAGCTTCCCTCTCTTCCCGAATCGAACAACTCCGCGAATAGGATGAACTCTAAGGAAAGCTGGCTCGCCAACCTCAAACTGAATGTCTCGTCGATGATGATCGGCTGAAGATTTCTGTCGACTCTAAGCTGTCTTGAGTCTCTGCCGGATCAACTCGACCTGCTCTGTCGTCTCCTCGATCATCTTCGGACCGAGGACTCATCGCTCTCCGACGTCGTCCCAATAAAGAGGGGAACGAAACTTACGACCGTAAAGTGCCTCGTAGGGAGCCATCTGAATAGAAGAATGATAGCTGTTGTTGTACGCGAACTCGGCGTACGAAAACAATGACTCCCACTTAGCACCCCTGTCAACAACCAAAGCACGAAGCATATCCTCAAGCGTCTGAATGGTCCGCTCGGACTGACCATCTGTCTCTGGATATTAGGCTGAACTGAATTCTAACTTCGTGCCCATCGCCTCGTGTAAACTGTGCCAGAATCTATTGACAAATCTGGGATCTCTGTCTGATACGATAGTAACGGGCACTCCGTGGAGTCGAATGATCCCACGGGTATATATCTCAGCCAACTTATCCAAAGACATCTTCATTGAAACAGGTAAGAAATGAGCGACCTTAGTCAATCTGTCGACCACGACCCAAATAGCGTCGTGATGTTCAGACGACCTCGGTAATCCCATAACGAAATCCATCGTAACTTCCTCCCACTTCCACCGTGGAATCGGCAGTGGTTGCAGGAGACCGATCGGACTCTGATGTTCGGCTTTGCTTTGCTGACAGGTAAAACATCTCCTGACAAACTCGGCGACGTCCTTCTTCATCCCTCGTCACCAGAACGACCCTTTCAGGTCATGATACATCTTCATGCTCCCGGGATGGGCTAGATAGGGTGCGGTGTGAGCCTCTGACAATATCTCCTTCCGCAACGCCTCAACTTTCGGAACCACGATTCTGCCTCTGAACTCTAGGCACCATCGGCACCTAGCTGAAAACCCTCGACGCCTCCGGCGCGGACTTTGGCCTCCATGACTCGAACAAACTCGTCAGAAGCCTGTTCCTGCCAGATTCTCTCTCTCAGCATCGGCTGAAGCTGCATGGAATTAACAATGGCACTAACACTCCCCGAAATGGCTGTGGGAAGTGCGTCGACCGCCTGAATCTGTGTCCGAGCGAACTCCTGAATCAATGGACTCTGTTGAGTAACGACGTACGTCAAGTCACCCCTCACCTTTCGGCTTAGGGCGTCAGCAATGACATTTGCCTTCCCCGGATGATACTGAATTGAGCAATCGTAATCCTTGATGAGCTCGAGCCAACGGCGCTGTCTCATGTTAAGCTCCTTCTGCGTGAAGATGTACTGCAGGCTCTTATGATCTGTGAAAATCTCGCAACGTCCGCCGTAAAGATAGTGTCGCCAGATCTTGAGAGCATGAACAACGACGGCTAATTCCAAGTCGTACGCCGGATAGTTCTGTTCATGCGGTTTAAGCTGACGGGAAGCATAGGCAACGACCTGGCCGTCCTGCATGAGTACAAATCCCAGTCCCTGCTTCGAAGCATCACTGAAAATGGTGAAACTCCGAGAAGGATCGGGAATAGTCAACACCGGGGCTGAAGTTAATCTCCTCTTGAGCTCCTGGAATCTCGCCTCACCACGATCAGTCCACTCGAACTTCACAGACTTCCTCGTCAGCTGGGATAATGGGAGGGCAATCTTAGAAAAGCCCTCGATGAACCTGCGATAGTAGCCAGCTAAACCGAGAAAACT